CACACACACACACACACACACACACACACACAAATAAATAAATAAAAATTTAAAAAAAAAAAAAAACTCAGCTGGTAGGATCTGAATGTATAGACCCATGCAGAGGAGGGAAGGGGACATGCCAGCTGGTGAGGCAGGCAAATCAGCCCCTGCCGGAGCTGTCACCTACTGAGTGCTGAGGTGGGAGGGCCCCTGTGGAGCCCAGAGCCAGAGCTAGCAGAGACCTGGTGGGAAGAGACATCTGCCTCCGTCCCCTGCTGCCCCATCTCCTGCCAGCACCTCCCACTGGTCAAGGGGAACCAGAAAGAGGCCAGAGAACCCGCCCAAGGTCACATATTCAAGCCAAGGGACTCCTAAGTGCCAGCTTAGGGTGTCCTAGACTGACCCCAGCACAGAGGGATCAGCTTACCCACTCTTGCTGGGGAGGCTAGGGAGCTGGAAAGGCGGGGCACTCACTGACATGTCCTGGATGCCCCACGGAAGTGGTATCCGGGCCACATTTCTTACCTTCAGCTGCCTTGAGCCCCAGATCCTCGTCCCCAGAGAAGTCATGCCCACCTCTGCGGGTTCCCCCTCCACGCTGCCCAGCAGAGCCAGCTCCTGCCCGGTCTTCTGTGCCATGTTTCTAAGGTGGCTGGGAGCTGCAGCAGACCATTAGGAGTGCTTGCCACCTGGCTGAGCCCTCTGCAACCTGGAGCCAGGGTCCCTGAGTCCCAGAGTTTAGAGAGGCTGCTTAGCTCCCAGCAGGGCAAGTGAAGGAAGTTACTTAAAACCTCTGCTTGTTGGTAACAGATCCATGGGGTGACATCCTGACTGCTGCTCTGATTGGCAGCACCAGGAAGGGCAGCATGCTGAGGAATAGGAGCTGGTCAGACATCAGGACTAGTGCAGTAGCCAGACAGTCCCCTCAACCACCTGCTTGATCGTGGACAGCTTCTTACCTCTGCTCGTGTAGACCAGGAACCACAGTTGCAGCTAGTTAACCCCACCAGCTGCTTACAGACTCATTCCTACATGCATTCAACAGGCACACGTTGAGCGCCTCCTGTTTGCCAGGCATGGTTACATGACAGAGACAGAGCACCAGGCAAGACAGACATACAGAGTCCACCCCGCTACAAGAACCAATGCTATAGGGAGGAGACAACGTTTTTATATAAGAGCAATCAAGCCAGGTGTGCTGGTGCACGCCTGTGATCCCAGCACTCCAGAGGCTGAGGCAGGAGGATGGCCATGAGTTCAAGGCCAGATTGGGCTACACAGGACAGCTTGAACTATGTAGCAAGACCCTGTCTGAAAAAGAAATGAAGAAAGGGACTGGGGCCACAGCTAAGTATGGAGTTCCTGGCTGCAGTCCTCAAACTGTAAAAATGGTAATAATAATAAATTTAATTAAAAATTTAAAAATAGGCTGGAGAGATAGCTCAATGGTCCAAGCGTCTGCTTGGCAAGTGCAAAGACCCAGGTTTGATCCCTGGTATTGCATGCCGTGCAAGCCCCCCAGAACCCTGGGCATACTGTGCCAGTCATCAAAACCAGGTGTGGTGGCACAAGTCTATAATCCTAGCGCTGGGAAGGCTGAGACAAGAGGATCACTACAAGTCCAAGCTGCGCAGGGAGACCCTATACCAAAGAAATAAATTTAAAAACAGGCCAGGGAGGCTGGTGAGATGGCTCAGTGGTCTAAAGCACCTACTTAGAACACGCTTAGCAATAGCACAGGGACCGCGGTTCAATCCCCCAGCACCACATGCCGGCCCGCCCGCCCCCTGGTGGGCTGAGCTGGCCACACAATAAATAAATAAATAAATAAATAAATAAATAAATAAATAAATAAATATTTAAAAAAAAAAAAAAAAGCAAAACTAAAAACAGGCCAGGCATGATTGTGCATGCCTGTAATCCGGACACTCAAGAGGCTGAGGCAGGAGAATCGTGAGTTCAAGACCAAGCTGGGTTACAAAGTGAGCTCAAGGCCAACCTGAACTGCATAGAGAGACCCTGTCTCAAAAAGACAAAGAGGGGACAGGGAGATGGCTCAGTGGAATAAGTGCTTGGCAAACGTAAGGACCTGAGTTCAATCCCCGGTTCTGGAGGGGAAAAAAAAAAAAAAGGCAAAAAAAAAAAAATTAAAGCACAGTCAGTGTGAATGTGACGTGCTTGGCACAGAACCCACCAGGTAATACCTAGTTCCAAAATGATGGCTATTATTATTTGTATTGCTATTATTGCCATGCCTTGGGTGTTCGGTTTGATAGCTGGCCCTGAATTACGTTGAGGGAAAGTCAGCGGGTAGGTCTGGGCTCCTAGGATGACCAAGTCTCAGCTGCATCAGGTCTCAGGCGCCCCTTCTCTGCCTCCCAGGTAAGGCCAGCAGGTCTGAGGCCAGAACTGAGCCCAGAGAAGCAGGGGGAGGGGCCCTGGGGAAGACAGGCGCGGGCCATGGGGGGCGGAACTGCCAGCGCTGCCCACGGGCTTCTGCGGCTGCCCCTGCAGGTGGACGGGGTGACGTGGGTTTGTCCTGTACTCGATGGATAATGACTGTGTTTCTTGTCTCTTTTCATGCCTGCTGTTTAAACTGTATATTGGCACAACGCCGTCTGAAAAACTCATCCAATCAAAATGCACTATGAAATTCATTTGTTCATCCATGGCGTGGTCTATGTACTCATACACCAATGACTTTATCTCCCAACCCACCGCCACCACCACTCCCACTCCCCGCCCGGGGAACCGAAACCCATTGGTTTTTTGGCACTGGTTACAAATCAACCTAAAAAACGCTGAAACGCCTCCCCAAACGCCCCCGCCCGCCCGCTTCCCTTCCATCTTCAACATCTGCATCTAGAATCCGGTTGGTGTTACTTCTTTCTGAAGTCTAAATGCCCTACATTAACTGTGAACGCACCTCTCGCATTGTATGGCATGACCCACCCCGGCTTTCCAACTGCGGATGCCTGCTGCGCGCGCTTCCCGCCCGCCCTTCCCTTCGGTCTGTCCGTCTCTCTCGCCCCCGCCCCTCCCCCTCGTTGTCCCTAAAGAGCTCTCTCCCTCTGGTCTTATCTAGTTTTGGATTGAGGGCGTCCATCTGAGAAAGTTTGAGTCTTTTGCAGAAAATGGGGTGGGATCTTCCCTGTGGGCAGGGCTACCAGGACTAGAGGGCCACCTCATGCCACACAGAGAGCTGTGAGGGAGCGCCCACCAACACCCCCACTTCCGACCACTCAGAGAGCTGCCAGGGCTCCCACTCCGCTGGATGTCTCTCCCTGCCCCTCCGCTCTCTCTTCTCCCTTCCCTTTTCCTCCCTCTCTGTCACATCCATCACCCTGCATGTCACACCCACACCCACCCCAGCAACCACCACCTCCCCATTGCCAGGCCCCTTTCACAGCCTTCACTCAGCAAACCCACCTGCCCTGCCTTTCCCCTGCCCTGGACCAGTGAGCTTATTTCCAGGACCCACACTGCACCTCTGCACTGGGCTCCCTTCCCATAGGTAGTACACAGGCATCTGTACACCAGACAGCTCACGAGTCCTTATTTGGTCCCACCAAAGAAGCAGTGGGCAAAGGTAGCCCCAGTCACTGCCCCTGCCCCTATTACAAGGAGGCATACACTGGTCTGATTACTGCTGGCTCCACTTGAAATTGTAGCTGAGCTGCAAATTGAGGAGTGAACAGCATGAACAAGGTGGAAAGGGGAGAAAGGACATTTCAGGCCCCCACACACCACATGCCAAGGTCCTGGAGCAGGCAGAGTGCAGGGGTGAGGGAAGGCAATGTGGGGCTGTGAAAGGCTGCCCTGGAGAAATCTGAAGCAGGTAGGGTCCCAGAAGTTCCGTGTGAAATCCTAAGCACCATCAAGAGAGGCCAAAGGAGCTTTGATGGGAGGATGGGACCATCAGAAGCATAATTAGACCAGCTCACTACATCCATGAGGCAAGATGGGGCTGGGCTGGAGCTGGGCCGGAAACCTGGGAAAGCTGACAGTGAGGGGGTGGAGGACAGTAGGAGCCCCAGAACCTGGAGATGGGGCAGATGTGGGTTTAGGAGATGTGAGGTGCCCCGGGCTATTCCCTAGCCTAGCTGAAAACAGAGTGGTGCTTAGACAGGGCCAGGCGAGGGCAGGGCCGGGGCAAAGAGCAAGTGTGGACTTGAGTGGGAGGTGGTCTTGTGGCCTCTCAGGAAGGCAGGCAGGCAGGTTGTGGACAGGAGCACCGAGGTGAGGTCGGGACTGAGAAGATCTGCAAGATCAGGATTTCTCTGCAGCCCCTGTGTGGGTGGTTTCCATACACTGAAGCACCCTGAGGACCAGCTGCCTCTGGGGGTCTCACAGAGCAGAGAGGACCCCAAGAATGAGAAGTGTAGGGAACGGTCCAGGAGGGAGTGCCTTGAAAGTTCTGTGGATGCCCCAGGTGGTAGTGCAGACCCAGGGAGGAGGGCTGCCAGCACTCCCCTCCCTGCCCTCTCCCATCTCTGCCCCTCCCTCATGTGTCTCCCCCTCCAAAGACTGCATGCTCTCCGCACATCCCCATCCCCGCTGCTGCTGCTTCTGCGTAGTGGCAGCTCCACCCTGGGCTGCTGCCAGGACCCGCCTGCCTGTGCATGCCTCACCGAGCCCACATGTTATGGTCCGCCCCGTGGAAGGGATGGCTTGTACTCTGGGGTTGCATGGGAGGGTGCTGGGGAGACCTGGGCCATTGGCCCCATCCCCAGATGGAGCTGGGTACCAGGCAGGGGTGGGGGTCAGGTCAGCTGACCACTGAGCTGACTCAACCAAACTGGGTTGGGGAACTTGTGCCAGGCACTGGGGACGACAGGCTGGGGCTGGAGTGTCCAGGGTAGAATCCGCCAGTCACTTTTCCCACCCCAATATCTGTTGGCATTGGCCAGAGACTGCTGGAGATGTTACCAGCAAGCCCAGAGGCCTCTTGCCAGCTTCCAGAGTCCCCGGGCTCCAGTCCCTGCCTCTCAGCTCCAGGCCAGAGCTAGCACAGGACACAAACCCAGTGGGAGGAAGCCTGCCAGGAAATCCCAAGGAGAAAGATTGTATGCAGAACTCACTGTCAAAGCGGGAAGGCAGCTGTGGTCATCAGGGAAACCTGTGCAGTCACCTGGGGCAGTCCCCCATGCACCATTTGGGGGAGAGGGCTAGGCAGAATTAAATCTTGCTGTGGGGCACCTACAAATCCCACCCATCAGGGTCCAGTCAAGCCCCTCACAGTGGGAGGCCCTCCTGCCCTCAGCCAGCTGGACACTGGTCTGTGATTTCCAGTCTCCAGATCTGCCCTGCACTGGGCTTTCAGATTTAGATGGCTTTGGGGGTCAAGGAGACAACAGCACACCAGGAATGTAGATGCCATTTCCAGGGGACCTTGGAAAACTGAACAACATGTCACCTGCTCCCAGGGGGCAGTCATCAGAGGCCTGGGTACCAGGAAGCCAGATCAGTGAGAAAATCTGATTTTTGTTTAAGTGAAACTACTTTTCATCTTTTAAAAAGACTGTTCAGACTCAACTAATTAGTTTCATTGGCCAAATCAGGTCACCATTTGTGGGTGCCTGGCCTTGCACCCTTTTCCAGGGTGCCCCGAAGCCCCAGGAGAATCCCAAGTGGTAGCAGCAGGCTCTGTGCACCAGTTTCCAGCTGGTGTCTAGCTCAGACAGAGGAAACAGAGGCAGAGACTAGACAGGGGGTTTCGGAGCAGAGCCAGGGGCCACCCAGGGAGGTCCTGGGGGCAGGGACGGCCCTACCTCCCACCCCAGCACCTGCCCCTCGGTGGGCCCAGGGCTGATCCCCAGCTCACTGGCCCCGGAAGCTGAGTCGTTCCTGCTTCCCGCAGGCCTGGTCCCGTGACACTCCACCCCGTCCCAGAAGCTGTGAAGCCATCCCTGAGAGGGGGGAAAGGGTCCCAAATGCATCTTCTCCGACTCAGCGGGCAGCGAGGACTCACCCTGCAGCCGAACAGCCCCAGCTCCCTCCCGTCCTCCCCATTCCCGCTCGCCAAGGGGGTAAGAAAAGATGCTCTTCCGCTTCTCCCCTGGCGCCAGCCGCCGCTCCTCTTGGCCGCGGAGCGAGGTCAGGGCGGGCAGGAGCGGGTGGGCAGCTCGGCAGGGCAGGGCAGGGCAGGGCAGGTGCCCGGTGAGTCCCGTGGCAGATGCATTTCAGGCTCGGAGCGTAACATGCCCTCGGAACCCGCACGTGTCCACCAGGCCTGGTGCTGGCAACCCCACCCCCACCCGCCCGGTGTTTGTGCCTTGTCCCCTTGTGATGGGTCCTGCAGTCTGACCCGCTTGTGTCCTCTGTCTCAGTGCATTTGGTTGTTGGGAGAAACAAAAACCATCTTGATTTTTTTCCTGATTGGATGATTCGGATATATTTTCTTTTCCTTGTTCTTTTGTTATTTCTCCCTCCCGGCCCCCTAGTTTCTTTCTCCTCCTCCCGGTTTTTCTTTCCTTTTCCCCATTGTGGGCGGGGCTGGCAGGAAGGAGTATGCTTTTGAGTTGGTGCCTCTTCTCCCGCCCTCCCTCCTCCCTCCTCCCTCTGACTTTCTTTTTTCCGAGTTTTTCTGCTCCATTTGCATTAATAGTGCTTTCTCTCCTCTCCCTCCTTATTTGGGGTCTGGCTTGCTTTTTTCCTGTTGATTGGCTTCATGTAGGGGCCTCTGTGAGTGGTGACAGGTCTGAGCCCCTCCGGGTGGGTGGACGGTCACCCCATGTTCTTCCATCTCCCCAGAATAACTTCATCAACCTGAGCTTCCTCCGCCTCTTCCGGGCTGCTCGGCTCATCAAGCTCCTCCGTCAGGGTTACACCATCCGCATTCTCCTCTGGACCTTCGTGCAGTCCTTCAAGGTGAGCTCCTGCCGCGCCTGTGGCCCAGGCACCCTGTGCTAGGAGAACTGTGCTGGACCACAAGTGCCTCTGGGATGCAGCCTGCCAGAGCCTCTGCCTCCCAGGGCCCTTATCTCACTGCCTGCCCCATCCCAGTCTCCCCCAAAGATGCCCACCAGCCCCACAGGCCAGGGGACAGGGCCAGGAGAGGTGTGGGTAAGGAACCACGGCCCCCCCTCACTGCCTTCCTCCTTCCTCCCAGGCCTTGCCCTATGTCTGTCTGCTCATTGCCATGCTTTTCTTCATCTACGCCATCATCGGCATGCAGGTGAGTGCTGTACCCCTGAGATTCCCGCCCCCAGCCTCCCCAGGGAAGGAAGGGTGCAAGGCCCCCAAACAGGGTCAGCCGTGGAGATTTAGCTGGGTTTCCCTGGAGCCTCTGGGTGGAGAGGACATGGCTGCCTCTGGTTGTCATCCTCCATCTCCTTAGGTGTTTGGCAACATTGGCATAGATGTGGAGGACGAAGACAGTGATGAGGACGAGTTCCAAATCACTGAGCACAACAACTTCCGGACCTTCTTCCAGGCCCTCATGCTGCTCTTCCGGTGAGAGGGGGCGTGGCCTCGCCGCTCTGTTCTGAGGGGCGTGTCTGCATCTTTGGTGGTGGGCGTGGCTTCGCAGTGGGGCGTGTCCTCTTTTGGTGAAGGCAGGTCCAAATCTTTTTCAGTGCCTCAAAGCCATCTTGCTCCTCTGATGAGGTTCAAGATGGGATGGATTGGGACTGGGGAACCCCATTAGGAACCTGGCAGGACAGGAGCCCAAAGCCGGGAAGTCCTTTTCCAGGTATTATCACACTATGCCTTGCTGACCACCCTGTGAGGTGGAAACATACTGATTCTGAGGCTCCATCTTTGGCTCTGGATCCTGGCTGAATAGTAGAGACCCTCCATTGGTTCCTGGAGGCAAATGGAGTAGTTACTGTGTGCCAGACACTGCTACAGGCAGTGGGACACAGCAGGGAATGCAGGAGAGGGAAAGAGGAAATACGTTCTGGCCTTTAAAAGTTTATGTTCCCGGGGCTGGTGAGATGGCTCAGTGGTCTAAAGCACCTACTTAGAACAAGTTTAGCAAAACACCTGGATGATGGTTCAATCCCCCAGCACCACATGCCAGCCAGCACCGCCCCCTGGTGGGCTGAGCTGGACACACACACAAAAATAAATAAATTAAATAAATAAATTAATTAAAAAAAAAAAAGTTTATGTTCCCATGGGGAAGACCAAAAATTGGTCAATTATTATAAAGTATACTTTGGGAAGATTTAAATACTTGGGGATGGATAGATTTTTTTTTTTTTTTTTTTTTTTTTTTTTGCGGAGCCGGGGATTAAACTCAGGCCCTTGCACTTACTCAGCTGAGCTATCTCCCCAGCCCCTTAAAAACTTGGGGAGAAGAGGCAAAATTTAAGGTCAGGAGAGAATGGAGGTGCAAAAGAACAAGCACGGCGGGGTGTAGTGACGCGCACCTACAATCCCAACACTCAAGAGGCTGAGGCAGGAGAATGGCTGCAAGTTCAAAGCCAGCCTGGGCTACATAGTAAGTTCAAGGTCATCTTGAACTACATAGCAAGACTGTCTCAAAAAAAAAAAAAAAAAAATCTAAAACATGCCTGCGCACACACCAGCACTTGTATGATACACCCAGAATGAGGGAATTCAGAGAGGCAACAAGACAGTGGGTGCTGGCGGATGGAGGAGGGAGTGGGTAGTGTTTAGTGGGGACAGAACCTCTGAGGTGATGAAAAAGCCTGGAGCTGGGTGATGGTTGCATAATAATAAGATGCTTCAGGCTACTGAGTTGTATGTTTCAAAATAATTAAAATGGTATATTGTATAATATGCATACTTAGCCACACTTTAGAAAGAAAACTTCCACTGGGCATTATGACACACTCCCATAGTCCCAGCACTCAGGAGGCTGAACCAATAGGATCACCAAGAGTTTAGGGTCAGCCTAGGTTACAACCTGAACTGCATGGTGAGACGCTGTCTCAAAAAAGAAGAAAAAAAAAAGAAAGAAAGAAAGAAAAAAAAAAAACTTCCACCTGACAGCAGAAAGGAAGGAATGGAGAGCAATAGGTGTGATATTTGAGAAAACCAGGCAAAGGAGGAAGCCCGGTGACTAGCTGGCCAGGAACAGCCAGAACGCTGAGGCAGAGTGTGGCTGGTGGGCTGGTGTTTGTGAGGACAAGGAGAAATCCAGCATGTTCACAGTGGAATGACTTGGGGAATAGTCCTAAGATATAACGGCTTTTCCTGGTATTGCCAGATAGGATGTCTTAAGGAGTTATTTCCAGTTTCCTGGTGTCCCACATAAAGAATTGTGCAGTTCCCTCAAAAGAAGTAACAAAAGTAAGGTTATAAGGGGGGGGGGGGGTTGCCGGGGAGATGGCTCAGTGGAATAAGCGCTTCCCTGATAAGCACAAGGGATGCACACCTCTGATCTCAACACTCAGGAGGCTGAGGCAGGATGATTGCTGTGAGTTCAAGGCTAGCTTGAACTACATAGCAAGACCCTGTCTCCAAAAAAAGGAAGTAGAATAAGACCTATTAAAAGGGAAGAAGCAACAGTGCCCTCCACTCCACAAGGTGGGTGGGCGGGGCCAGGGAGAAGAGCTCACATCTCTACAGGGACAGCTGTTGTGGGAGGGTCTAGAGCAGGAGATTGACAGAGTCGTGGCCCAATGGATGCAGACTCAGCCACTCCCCGGAGAGGCAGAAGTTTATAATAGGGGGGAGGGGCTTGATTTGGGTTTTTTTGTTTTTAACACGAGGGTATTAGAAGAAGCTTCATGGTCTGTGGGGGTGGGGTCAAAGTTGCAATGTAGATGAGATTTGGGTTTGCTCGCTTTTGCATGTGTTGGGAACAGGTGACTTATATCTATTAGTTTTATGATACTTCGACAGTCACCTTTGCTTTGTGTGGTTTATTTATTTATTTATCTGGTACAGGGTTTCCCTACACAGCTTGGACTCAGTAATCCTCCGGTCTCAGCCTCCCCAGCACTGGGATTACAGGCGTATGTTACCACGCCTGGTTTCTGTGGCCTGTAGGGTGAGGTGCTGGAACGACATATGGCGTGCTACGAAACCAGAGATCGAACCCTGGCCCTTGCACTTGCCAAGCAGGTGCTTTGACTGCAGTGCTCTCTCTATATCCAGCTATCCAGCCCTCCCCCCACTTTTTAAAAAAAAAATTTATTAATGCATTTAATACAGGGTCCACAGGGTCTCACTACACAGATCGGACTCGTAGTCTCGTTTTTAACCTCCCAAATGCTAGGATTGCAGGTGCACACCACCATGCCCATTCTCAGTCCCAGTCTCAGCGCGCCCCTGGGCTGGGACCTGCACGGCACTCCGGAGATGGAACAGGGGCCACTGCACTCTGCCTTAGCAGGCACTTTAGTCTGCTGAGCTACTCGGCCCTTTGGTGTTTTTTGTTTTTGGAAGGGGTTTGAGGGTTTTTTTTTGTTTTGTTTTGGTTTTGTTTTTTGAGATAGGGTCACACTGTGCAGTTCAGGCTGGCCTAGAGCTCACTTTGTAGCCCAGGCTGGTCTCAAATGCTGAATGATCCTCCTGCCTCAGCCTCCCGAGTGCTGGGATTACAGGCGTGCACCACCACGCCCCGCTGTGTGGCCCCAAGGCTTCCTGTATCTCTCCTCTTCCTCCTGCCTCACTGAGCGGAAGCCCAGGCTGCTCAGCCCCGAGCAGCTCGTGGGCCTATTTCCCTGTGTTCTCTCCTCCCCACAAGAGGTCTCTGACACTCCCCCTGTTCCCAGGAGCGCCACTGGGGAGGCCTGGCACAATATCATGCTGTCCTGCCTGAGCGGGAAACCGTGCGATAAGAACTCCGGGATCTTGACCGCAGACTGTGGCAATGAATTCGCATACTTTTACTTCGTCTCCTTCATCTTCCTCTGTTCGTTTCTGGTGAGGCTTTGGTTTTGTTGTTGTTGTTTTGGGGAGTGGGGTATCAGGAATCGAACTCAGGACCTCACGTTTGCCAGGCAGGTGCCGTACCACTGGGCTAAATCCCTGGCCCTCTGGTGAGGTTTTGAACATGAAAAAGGCTGTCGGTCCTCGATCCTCCGCTCCACAGGCCGATTTCCCTAGGATGTGGCTGGCGGCCAAGGATTGGGATGTGGGGACCCCAAGCCACTCGGCCTCAAGGTGCTGACCCAGGGCTCTGTCCTGGGGCTGCCCCAGGCCCTGCAGGGTGTTGTCCACCAGCCTCCTGTTGTACACAGTGCCCCGTCTCCTCATGGTGACAGCCAAAATGTGCCCTATTAGAGACCCAGGGACACAGTTGTCTTTGGCCTTACATGGGGACAAATGTGGTCATGCTGCCTCTTGTGTCACAGAGCCTCCCTCTGACTCTCACAGTCTTTGCATCTCTGTGTCTCCACCTGTCTCCTCTCTCCTTCCCTGACTCTTCTGGATCATTGTCCCTCCTTTTGGCTGTTCTCTCTGACAGTCACCTTTGCTTTGTGTAGCTTCTTTTAAAAAAAAAAAAAAATTTAGGGGCGGGGAGA